TGTAGCTTTTAGTGCTGAAGTCAATGGTTTGTGATCCGTATATACATGAAATTCGCGACCTTCCAGTAAGTGTCGGAAGTGACGGATGGATAGGTAAATAGCGAGCAGTTCACGACCAAACGTGCTGTAATGGGACTCGGTTGGGGACAGTTTGTGAGAGAAAAATGCGAGGGCTGATGAGTGCTGTCAATAGCTTGCTGTAAAACAGCACCTACAGAGACGTTTGAGGCGTCCACATTAAGTGCCAATACAGAGTTGTGTTGTAGATAAAACAACTTGAGAGAATTCGCTAGAGAAGTTTTGACTTGCTACAAAGCAGAAATAACGGAGTCGGTTAAATGGAACGTTTTTGGCTTTCCGAATAATAGGTTAGTGAGTGGTGCTAACAATGATGCAGTCATGGGAATAAAACGTCTGTAGAAGTTTGTCATACCCAAAAAACGCTTAGGTTGTTTAAATGAGGTGGGTAAAAGGAAATATCGGATGGCATCGAGTTTATCATCAGTGGATGATATACCATCCTGGTTAACCATATGTCCAAGAAAATTTAATGTGGGCACACCAAAAATACATTTTTGTGCGTTGATGACAACGCCGTGGTCGCGCAGTCTAGTGAATAAAAGGCGTAAATGTTCTAGATGTTGTTCCACGCTATTACTGGCGACTAAAATGTCATCTAAGTAAGCAAAAACAAACGGTAAACCGGAAAGTACTTGGTCAATAAAACGCTGAAATGTCTGTGCTGCGTTTCTCAGACCAAATGGCATGCGCAAAAACTCGAATAAACCAAAAGGCGTAGTGATTGCAGTCTTATGAATGTCCTCGGGGTGGATTGGAATATGACGATAGGCCCGAAGGATGTCAACGTGGGAAAATATTGTACAACCCACTAGATTGGACGTAAAGTCGTGAATGTGCGGGATAGGGTAGCGATCTGGAGTCGTTATGTTGTTTAGTGCACGGTAATCGCCGCAAGGTCTCCAGTCTGTTGCAGTTTTCTTTGGGACCATGTGAAGTGGAGAAGCCCATACACTTTTGGATGCCCGAATGATTCCCAACTGTAGCATGTGCTGGAATTCTTCTTTGGCGATTTTTAGTCTTTCCGGATGAAGTCGCCTTGGGCGTGAGTAAACGGGAGTTTCTCGTGTGTCAACGTGATGGACTACAGAGTGTGTCGGTTCCGCTTGATGAAAGTTTGGCCTTAAGAGTTCTGGAAATTCTCGGAGTAAGTCGTGGTAACGAGAAGAGTCGTGTGGTGCTAACGTTATTGGGCAAATATTCGGCGTAACTGCTGACTTTCCCTTG